AATGGTATTATCTGCTAGGGAAAAAAACAAAAACATAAACAACTTTTGTGCTCATTAAGAGCCCTAAAAACCATCTGGGCTTTGTAAAACTGAGGCCTTTTGTCGTGGTTGGTTTCCCCCATTCCCCCCCTTCCCAGCAAGGTGGGGAGCAGCTTCACTGCAGCATTCTGGATTCTTGTCATTCCGCTTTGTCAGACCAATATTTCGTTTCTTAAGAAATCCTCCTCCTCCTCCTCAAGGAGCAAGTCTCTGCTGTCACCTTCAGAAAGTCCCTTTTGCAGCATTTCTGCCCAGAACTGACTCCAGGCACCAAGAAGAGACAAAACCCAAGGGCTGGGTCAGCAGTCTCCAGGGCTGGGACACATTTCCAGCTCAAGGACTGGGCCCATGGGAGTCTCCTGAGTGCACCTGGATCAGGGCAACCCCCTGACCCAGGCTGGGGATGAAGAACAGCCCTACCAAGGAGGATTCAGAGCCCCAGGATCTGAAGAGGGTCTAGGAAAGATTGGGAGGGCTCTTTATTATGAATTGTAGTGTTAGGACAAGAGATAATGGTTTTAAACTAAAAGAGCAGATTCAGATTAGCTGTAGCAAAGAAAACTTTCATAATGAATGTGATAAAATACTGGCATGGTAAAACCTCAAAGGTGGCGGGTGTCTCATCCATGGAAACATTCAAGGTCAGGTTGGATGGGGCTTTGAGCAGCCTGATCTAGCTGAAGATGTCCTTGCCCATGGCATTGGGGTTGGACTAGGTGACCTTTAAAGGTTCCTTCCAACCCAAACCATTCCGTGATTTGGCTCACAGAGGCACAACCTTACCATGGTGCCATTTTTTAGGACACCTCGTCCTCAATGAGGCTCTCATGGTTTGTCCCCTGGAGATTTGCCTTTTATGGCTGAGCTGGGGCTAAGCAAGGCTGCAACATTCTTTGGTACAACCCCAAAAAGTGCACAACCAGAAGAGCTGGAGAGCCTGAAATCTGCAATGTTTAGTTGCTGTGAGGACACTCACGACTGATTTAATAGCATGAGACTCAAAGTAAACTAGTTTATTTTAAGCTCGCTGAGACCAAGTTTGCCTGGCTAATGCATCCTGACTTTTAGATTGAAGACTTAAATATCTCGAGACTTTGGACAGATTCTTTGGAGGACACACGGCTTGGAGGAGGAAACCAGATTCAAAAATAATACCTGGAATTGTTTCAATAGTGCTATATCTGATCTTACCAGGACCAACGGAGCAGCCAAAATGTGGCCATCTGTTTCCGCTCCCCCCTGCCCTCCTGGCTAACTCCAAACAACCTCCCCAGCAGAAAAGGCATCGAGCATCCCACAGAGGAAGGACAATTCAATAAACCTAACCCCAAAAAGGAACACTTCATTTTAGCAGAGGAAGCCGTAGTGATGTGACTCACTCAGTGGCTTTTGAGGCTCTCCCCCACCTTGCAGCGCTGTCACTTGGAGGTTATTTTTGTGTTTGTCCTGCTACAACCAAGCACCTCTTGAGCCATTTGGCTCCACAGAGCATTGGGGTGGTTAAAGACATCTTTAGGGGTGCTGCCTGCTGAGCTGAGCGCGCTCCCAGGCTGGGATTGTGCACCTCCATTCCCTGGGATAAGCATATGGCAGACAGGCAGAGTTTTCACTCTGCTTTTCCCTCCTCCTGACCCACCAGGGATGTGCCTGGCCAGCCTCGTTCCTCCAGACGGGACATGGTGAGGGGGATCATGCTTGGGCAGACTCAGTTGCTTCCCTCACTGCTCCAGGGAAATCTGTACCAGCTCTCATCCTGGCCAGCCTTTTCTGGCCTGAATAATGTTTCCTTATTGTGGTTTTACCGGAGTCCTTCGTTTAATTTGGCCACTCCAAAGAAAGCATTGATAGGAGCATCATGCACAGCCCTGGAGGTGGCCACAGTGGCCATGCTGGGGACAGCTCAAGTGGCAGATACTCAATGAGATTCATCTCACACCAGCTCAAGGGCTGTGGCTGCTGCACACAAGGAAAGGAAGGCTCATGGTGTGTCTCTTGCCAGGACAGCTCTGAGACACAGACTCTGCTCAGACAGAGCCACTGAGCAGCAAGGCAGGTTTGTCAGGGAGTTTTCTGCTGTCATCCCAAGCCAATTCTCCACCCTCCTTCAGACAAGTGGTAAAGATGGACGTTGGGGATGGTCTTTTCAGGGCTGTCCTATTAAGCCATCTGTATGGCCACATTGACAGGAGGACCATACTGCAACACAATATGTCGCTTCAGCAGAGGAAACACACTCAGAGCCCCCAGCACTTCAGCTAAGGGGGATTCTTCTGCCTTTTCCCTCTGCCACCACTGTAAAGCTGCACTGAGAGGCAGCTCCATCCCCAGCAGGAAGCTGTGTCTCATTAGCAGAGGTAAACAATTCCTCTGAACGTGACGAGTCAGCAGAGCATATTTAATATGTCAATATCTCAGGGTTTTTTAATCCCTACTCCAGAACAGCTAGTTGTGGCAGGAGAGGACCCCCCAGCATGGCTCAGAGTCCCACCACAGGCCAGCTGGCATCTCCCCCTCTTTGAGGGGGTTGTGGGGTGCCCTCACCCCTCAACCTCACCCACCCAAGCAAGCCTGAGCACTCCACTGATTTCACTTGTTCAGTTATCAGAGCTGCAAATAAACTAAACAAACAAACAAATAAATTATCCAGCTCTTTGCTTTTAAAACATCAACCCAAGCATCCATTTGAGTAACCTCCCTGCTGCAGGGTGAGCACCACACTGCAGCCCAGCAGCTCCAGTCCCAGCCCTTTCCTTCCAGCACACACAGAGGTGGCAAAAGCCACACATGGCCCAAGCTGAGGCTGTGACAGAAGGAACAAACCCCAGCACGGCATTTGCAGCTTCACTGCCAGGCAGGGGTGTGCCAGAGCAAGACTGGGTTGAAAACAGTTTGAGTTCTGACCTGTTTTATCCTGTGCTGCTTTCCCCAGCAGCCTTGTGCACACACACAAACACAACGTGTGCTGTATTTACGGGAGTCCCCTCGTGTCCCCAAGGCTGCCTCCCCTGCACAGAGCCTGCTTCTCATGTACAGATCAGTCACTTGCTGGTTGGTTTTCCCCCTGTGCTGACAGAGCAGCCCCCTGCCTTGTTCACATTGTGCTGCTCACATGCTGCTCCAGACACAGAATTATTTGTGTCCTCAGGAGTTTTCCAGGGTGCTGTGGCCTCCACTGACTTTGCAAGTTGTTTGCCTTCAGTGCACACCTCTGAGCTCTGAGGAGGCTCCAAAGGCCCATTTTACAGACATGGAGTGGAGAAGCTCTGAGTAGTTTCCAAGACTTTTGGTTGCCTGGCTGGAGGTGGCAAAGCCCAGATTTTCCAAAGCATGTTGTGTTACTCAGAGGTTTCCACCTTCAAGGTACAGCCCCACTTGGCACCCAAGAGCATCCACACGTACAAGCCAGATCCCCTCTGCTGTGACTGGGTGTGCACAGGGCACCCCAAAAGCAGCTCACAGGCACTCAGACTCCAAAAGTTCCCTAGGTCAAAGCAAGCCATGGAATCAGGAGCATCCTCTTCCCACACCTGCCACAGCCAGAGACACAACCAACCTGCTCAGATCCAGCCCTGCACCGCATTTTTTGGAGCCAATATCAGCTCCCCACACCCTGGCACAGCCCCGATACTGCAGAAAGTCCCCAGGGCCAGGCAGGAACACGCTGGTCCCACACATAGCACCTCCCCATGGCTTCCAACCATGCCCAAAGCACCCACAAACCAAAGAACACCCAGCTCGCTCTTACCTTGAAAGCTGCTGTGCTCAGGAGAGCCAGACCTCACTCCCCAGCAGGCTCCTCACCCCCAGACAGCAGCTCTGAGCAGCTCCAGCAGCTTTATCACCTCCTCCTGTGCCAGGTGCCTCTGCCTTGCTGAGAAGGTCCCACAGCAGCAGAGCCCACTGTCATACCAATCCCTCTCCCTCCCCAATCCTCTGGATTTTGATTCTGAGAGGGAGGCAAAGCGACAGCAAATAGATGCTTCATATGCAAAAAAAGGATTTGCAGTGTGTTGCAGAGTTTTTTGTGGTCTGTACCCACTAGAACACAGCCCTGCACAATCCCCAAGGCAGCTGTGACCCACATGCTCACTGCTGGAGGCAGAGGCTGCAGGGCAGTGGTGCTGGGCTTTAACAAACATGGGTGGGCAATAAACGCATTGGCACAGCTGCCCACCCCCAAAACTTCAACCTTGACCTTGACACTGTCCTGGTTCATCTCAGCACATGTGGATGTGGAGGTGTGTCCCTGCAAAACACACCAGCCTGGCTGTGCACTGGCACTTGTGGGCAAAACAGGATGGCTGGATGTTCTCTCCCACTGCTCAGGCCTGGAGGCAGCGGACATTGTCACCTGGATGGGATGAGCCATCCTCCTCACCCTGTTCCCTGTGAGCACGAAGGCACCAGGAGCACAAATCTCTGCTCTTTCTGCTGCTGCTCAGTTCTCTCCCAGCTTGGAGCTGGAGAAATTTGGCTCTAGCTGTGCTCAGAGGCACTGGGGGGATGGTGTGTCCACATCCTTTTCAGCATCAGGAGCCATGAGAGGCAGGGGTGTGCTCGGGAGATTTTAGCCACTCAATTCCTCCAAGGCAGCAGGGATGAGCACAGCTTTCTGTAGGCTTGTAAACTGGCCAAGCTTAGCCCATGTTTCTCTGAGACCATCTCAGGGAAGGAGCTTTCTATGAAAATTACCCCTGTGCCAAATCAAAAAGCCCTTTCCCAAAGGGCCTTTCAAAGGAAACAGCTCAGCCGTTCTTACAGCTGAGGTAAAGCCACATCTTTCTGCCTTAAATTCATTCTCAGAAACAGCATCCTCCCAAGCCAGGCCCCCGGCACCGTCCAGCTCAGCCCAGCAGTTAACGCTTGACATAAGCAGCCAAAGCCAGGGCCCGTGTGCCCACGCTGCCCACGCCACGCCCAGGCTTTGCTTTCCTCCCGGGTGATCATTTTTGTCGTTCCAGGAGAACCCGTACCTGTGCAGCGACGAGTGCGACGCCTCCAACCCCGACCTGGCCCACCCGCCCAAGCTGATGTTCGACAGCGAGGACGAGGGGCTGGCCACGTACTGGCAGAGTGTGACGTGGCGCCGGTACCCAGAGCCGCTGCTGGCCAACATCACCCTGTCCTGGAACAAGAGCATTGAGCTGACCGACGACATCGTCATCACCTTTGAGTACGGGCGCCCCACCATCATGATGCTGGAGAAGTCGCTGGACAATGGGAGGACTTGGCACCCGTACCAGTATTATGCAGACGACTGCATGGAGGCCTTCAGCATGCCAGCACGGAGGGTCCGGGACCTCTCCACCACCAGTGCCAACAGGGTCCTCTGCACGGAGGAGTATTCCCGCTGGGCGGGCTCCAAAAAAGAGAAGACCGTCCGGTTTGAGGTGCGGGACCGCTTTGCCATCTTCGCTGGCCCCGACCTCAAGAACATGGACAACTTGTACACCCGGCTGGAGAGCGCCAAAGGGCTCAAGGACTTCTTCACCGTGACCGACTTGCGCATGAGGCTGCTGAGACCCGCCCTGGGAGGCACCTACGTGCAGAGGGAGAACTTGTACAAGTACTTCTACGCTGTCTCCAACATCGAAGTCACTGGCAGGTAACAGCCGCTGGGTTTCTTTGGGCATCTCTTCTCAGAGGGATGAGAAGAGGGTTCTTGCTAGGAAACAGAGCCATCAGCATTTCTGCTGACTGAGAGATAATCGTTTCTCCCTCTGACACCCCTTCTCCCCAGGCAGGGCAACAGATGTGTCCTTGCAAGGAGTGGCTGGGGCACCTCCAAGGCTGTGTCCTTCTGCAGCTGGTGCTGGGGGAGCTGGGACATGGCTTGGATGGACACTCGGGGTCTGAGTTCCCTCCAATAGCCTGTCCCAGCTGTGCAAACACGGCCAGCCATTGCCCAGCTGTCTCAGGGGTGATGCTGGTGGATATGGGGCATGGAATGAGGCTCACCCCACTAAACTCCAGCTCACTGCCAGTACAAGCAGGGTGGGTCATCCCCAGTCAGTCCTGCACACCCTGAGCAGCTCCAGCTCTGGCAGATGAAGTTTGGGGTGCAGGTAAACCCCCTGAGAGATCTGGGGCAGAGGAAGCAGGAGGGGGTTTGTTTCTCCTGGATTTTGTTTTTCATTTCTCTATACGATGCCATATGTTATGTTATGACATCAACCAAAAAAGCAAAGTAAGGTGGAAAAATGCCGAGATGGCTGATTTCCCATCCAGCTTGTGAGAGACTTACAGGCGAGAGGGGAAAAATCCCCCCATCACCCACCCATGCTAACAAGCATCACCACAGCGACAGAGGAGCCGTTTGTATCGGTTCCAAACTGTTTGCTTCTGAGACTTGCAAGTAGAAATGTTTGCAGGTGCCACTGAGGCTGGCTTTGAAAAGGCTCCAAGGGGAAGGAAGCTGCAGTGAGGGATGGGAGAGCCCTTTCCACTCGCCAGGGCAGGCAGGAGGCAGCGATGAGGGTTTTTCTCACGGCATGGTGCCTGTCTGGGACAAGCAGCTGTGGCTCTCAGCTGGGTTGGGGGCATTTTGGCGTGCACACAGTGGGGATTGCTCAGGGAGGAGCCCTGGGTGGCTCAGACATGTGGGCAGAGGGGTGGGAGAACACCTCCGCATGTGTCTGGTAAATTAGGACTAAATATTTGATGATAGTGAGCTTTGGCTTCCAAGTGTGGAGACCAGCAGAGATAACCAAGGACTTGTTACTGCTCCCGCAGCAGCCTGGGGATACTTGACGCTTCAAAGAGTTAAAATTCTCTTGGTGTCCTGTGAACACCTTCCTCCTCCAAGCCATTTACCTTTCCTGCCTGCCTTGGGCAGGATTTGTTGCTTCAGTACTTTGGACTTCAGGCCATGCTGGTAGGATTCTCCTCAAACCAGCACCTTACTCTCAGTTGTCCTCCTCCCCCCTCCCCAGCCCCCCATCAGCTTTTGAATTCACTGGCCAAATTTAATACCATTTAATAGCAGCAGAGTTTGGTTCAAGACAGAAAATCCCTAAAAATTCTGTGAAAAGAGGCAGCTAGGGAAGGGAAGGAAAAACCCTTTCAAACACACCCCGCGCTGGAGGAGTCGCAACCTCTACCAGACATGCAAAATTCCACAGCCCGAGGGCAGCTGGAGGCGGGGATGGCCGGGCTGCGAACGCCCTGTGGAAGCTGCGATACTGCTTTTTAGCCGGGGCCAACACGAGACAGGTTGGGGTTTGTCGGCTGATCCCTGCCGGCCTCTCCCGGCGCTGGCTCGGTGCCGGCGTGGCCGCCTGCCCGCGGCTGCTGCAGCGGCTCCGGCTCCGCCGCTCCCCTCTTGGCTCCGCTCACCGAAACCTGCCCGACCGCCTCCCCCAGGGCAGCAGGACAGCGGGGAGCAGAGAGCTTTTCCTTGCCTGGGAGCAGGGAAAACTCTGAAATCTGCTTTTATCGGCCCAAACTCCGAGTTCTGAGGAAGATGCGGCTTTGTGCTGCTCCAGCTTGTTGGGCTGGTTCCCAGGAGAGAGGGACGCTCATCCTGGATAGGGAAGAGGGCAATGCCTGTTCTGTGCTGACTTTTCTAGCCCCATGGGCACAGGGCAGGGGAGGTGAGCAGCTGAGGAGCTGTGGATAAGTAGTGTATAGGATGAAGAAGCTCCCTGTGAATTAACTCTGCTCCTGTGATTTTTTTCCAGTCCCAGCAAGCAGGTTTTTCACTGAAAAGCGATCTATTTCCAGCTGTAAGCAAAGCCAGTTACGGTGCAGGGACTAAAACCAAATTAAATCTATTGTATGGCTCAACAAGGGATGGGTTAATGAGAGGAAGAGAGGAGAAATCAATGGGAGCCTGACAGGAGCACGGTGCAGGGAAGCGGGGAGGAAGGGTGGGCAAGGATGGGGATGGACACACACTGCCTCTTCCAGGACATGTTGGAGGAACAGCAGGAAAGTGCCTAGATAAAAGTGGGGTGGTGTTAGGATCCACTACAGGGGGCATGGAAACGAGAGGGAAGATGATTGTGAAGAAGTGAGGGGTCAAGGGCAAAACTCAGCCAGAAAATTCCACCTGGAGAGTGGAGTGAGAGAAAATTCCCCCTGGAGAGCGGAGTGAGCAGCCCTGAGAGGCTGAAGGAGGCTGGCCACAGTGTGTGCCCTCGGTGTGTGGCATTGCCCGTGTCCCTGTAGCACACCGGGATTTTGGCAGTGCTCACAGGGTGATGAGGCACTTGGCAGCTCATTTCCAGTCGGTCAAGGGAAGATCAAAACACTTTGCCCTCAGAGCAGACTATGAGCCCAGTTTCTCAGTGCTGAAGCCTGCACCAGATCACTGGTGGGTTCAGAGAGCTTTCTGTGATCCCCTCAGTCCAGGTACTCCCCATCCAAGCACACCCCATCCTTCATGCCTCAGCTTCACACCAAGGAAAACCCTTCACCACAACCTCCCAGAGCTTTTGGGAAAAGCAGGAAGAGACAGAACAGAGGGCATGGGGACAAGGGAAAAGAGTTTTCTGCCTTCTCTTGTCCTGTAAGCCAGAAGATCTGGTGAATCCTGGTGGTCACTGCTTCATTCCTGGGTGTTGGTACAGTGGACTGGTCCCTCAGGGTCTCCTCTGCATCTCCTCCTCCCACAGCCTCAGCCAGGTCCATCTCTCTGCTCATGGCTGACAGTTTATTTTTACTCTCTTTCCTCTTGGTATCTTTTTCTTTTCTTTTTTTCCTCCCCTTTCTTCTTCCGTCCTGTCCCTATTGATCTGCAGAGTAACTGGAGATGCAGAAGAGTCAGGACAGGAATAGACACAAGCAAGCCCTTGGTCTGTGTGTTGTGTGTGTGCCAGGCAGGGTGGGGAAGTGGAAGAACATTTCCCCACAGAGCTCTATTCACTGCTTCATTTTCTCCTCGGTGCAGCAGTGAGCTCAGGCATGGGTGAATGAGCTTTCCCTGGCTTCCAGGGCTGTGATGAGAGTCACTGGTTCTGCTTCCATTCCACACTGGGTCTCTCTGGAGTAATTTCTTCCCCTTCATAATGTCAGTCACTGCTGTGCTCAGCAGGGCATGCTCCATCACAGAGACATTAATAAGCTGTAACTGAAGTTAATGTGCCATGGCTAGGACATGTGGATCCAGTTAGGAGAAATCAGATTGAGCAGAAGTGAATCAATTTTAGGCTGCTTATTAGGATTTCTCCCCTCTGTCCTGCCCTGCCCCAGTGCATGCACTGTCTGTCTGTGCATCCTGCTGGCGATGAGCAGTCCCTGGAGGAAGGCAGGAGGAGAGAGCATCCCTCGTCTCTGAGCAGCTCCATGGAGCAGAGCCTCCTCTCGGGCTGCGCTCAGGCCAAAGAGGCACCAACAAGATAAGGTTTCTAGTTTTGAAGTGGCTTTTCCTTGCCTCAGTTCACCAATTACCTTTCTTAGGCTTTCCTTGGCTGCTTCTTTGCTTACACCAAAAAACTGAAGGGAAAGGCCCTTTGTGCTCCCCTGCTCCTTTCCCTGGTGCATTCTCAGTGCCGTGCATGGATGCTCTCCAGGACGATTTTCTCATCACATGGCTTGGAGAGTTTGTGCTGGTGGAGCAGAACATCGTTGGCCAGCCTGTTATCCTGGTGCCAACAGCCAGGATCGGGCACTCCAGACCTGGAGGACCAAGGCCACCTCCAGAAGCACCTCCTGCAATAAATGGAGCTGGAAATGGTCAGTGGTACCCACAAGCAGGGGATATTCTTTTCTGCATTTGTGGTGAGTTTTGAAATGTGGAAACGATTGATGCAGAATTGCTGTTAAAGATGAATGAATTCCTGGTCACTGCCTCCTTTTTTCGATGAAGGCAGTTCAGAGCACTTCCCCTGTGGCTGTAGCTCAGCTCAAACCATGGGTGCCAGCACAAAGCACATCCTGGTTGCACCTGAGGTGCTTTGCCCTGGTTGGACATTCCTTCTTCTGGCTCTGTTGTGGGAGACCTTCCAGCTGATCTTGACTTCTCCAGCAATGCTGTCTTTAAATTGGAGAAGAGGCTTGGTCCATGTAAGAGTCTCTTGTTGAGGATCTTAGATTTTGTGTGGTGGCTGGTGAACATCTCTCCCTGAGGAGCAGGGTGGGACCTGCACCAAAGGGGAACAGGCAGGACCTGGGGTGAATGATCTGTGAGAGCAGAGGCATTCTCAGCTGAGTCTGCCCAATCCCAATGCTGGGGCATCACTCCCAAAACAGCCACAGCCTCACCCAAGCATCCCCCAAGAACAAGCCCAACGCTCCTGCAGCCCTCAGCCAGCTGCTGCCCACATTTGGCAGCTTTGGCATGACCACAAAAACCAGGGCAGGCACTGCCTGTGCCTGTCCCTGCTCCTTCCCCTTCATCTCCTGGCAGACAGAACTTGGGTCCCAGGAGGCAGCAGCATCCTCATGTCAAGGACAGCCAAGCCTGTGCCAGCAGAGCTCTGTGTTCCTCGGCCCATCCGCTCCTCTGTGCTGGGCAGCCCCTGAGAGCTGGATCCCTGATGGATCCCTGAGCTTCCCTGGCATTCCTCCGGGCTCGAATTAGCTTGAGTTCCAGCAAAATCTTGCTCTTGGTCATACAGCTAAATGAAATTAACGTGCAGCAACTGTTTGCTGGAGTCCTGCAAA